GACTCCTCAAATAATTAAAAATGGAATTGCTCTTTGGCCCAGTGATCCCTCTTCTGATATATCCTAAGAATCGTGAAACACCAATCAAAAAGAATATATGTATTCCTATGTTAATAGCAGCATCATTTATAATAGCTAAGATCTGGAAACAGCCCAAGTGCCCTTAGTAGATGAGTGGATAAAAATGTGGTGGCACATTTATACAGTGGAATACCATGAAACTGTAAAAAGTAAGAATCTTTTACCCTTTGTGACAGCATGGAGGGTCCTGGAAATTATTATGCTAAGCAAAATAAGTAAGTCAGACAAAGACAAATATCACATGATGTCAGACAAATATCACATGATGTATATGTGGAATCTAATGAACCAAGTTAACTGATGAACAAAATAGGTTCAGAGACATGGAAGCATGGAAGATATTGACATAGAAAAAGATTAAACAAAGAACTTATGTGCATTGCCCCTGGACACAGACAATGGTGCACTGACGGCCTGGGGTGGGAGCCAGGTGAATGGGGACCATGGGGGAAAAATGGGGACATCTTTAATACTCTAATAATAAAAATCAATTTAACAAAACTCAATCCATGAAAATAAAATTCTTTCCACTTCTTTGTGTCTTAAATTTTATTTTAGTGATGTCTTGTAACTTGTTTGTTTTGTTTTTTTGTATAGAGAAAGAGGACAGAGAGCGAGAGAGATCATTTGCTTCCCACACATGCCCCGACCAAGGATCAGACCCACCACTTTTTGATGTATGGGATGATGCTCCAACCAACTGAGCTACACCAGTGAGAGCTCTTACAGTTCTCAGAGTACAGGCCCTTCACATGCTTTGTCAGCTTATCCCTCACTATTTTATCCTTTTTGTTAAAATTTCAAAAGGAAGTGTGTGTGTGTGTGGGGGGTGTTCATTTTTTCTTATGAAATTTCATTGTTAGTATGCTTTTTATTTCTTTCTCTTGCCTGATTGTTCTAGCTAGGACTTGCAGTACTATGTTGAATAATAGTTGTAATTGGGCATCCTTGCTTTGTTCTTGATTTTAGAGAAAAAGTTTTCAGTTTTTCAGCATTGAGTATGATATTCTCAGAGGGTTTGTTACATGTAGCCTTTATTATGTTTAGGTTATTTCCTTCTATACCAACTTTATTGAGTGTTTTACTCATAAATGTATGTTGTATTTTGTCAAATACTTTTTCTGCATTTATTGATATGATAATATGATTTTTATCCTTTGTTTTGTTAATGGTGGTGTAGTACATTGATTGATTTGTGTATGTTGAACCATCTTGCTTCCCTGGATTGAACTCCATGATATATTGTTTTTAATGTATTGTAGTAAACAAATTGCTAGTATTTTTATGATTTTGCATCTGTATTCATCAGAGATGTTGGTCTGTAGTTTTCTTTTTTATGTTGTTCTTGCTGGGGGTTGGTTCCAGGATTATGCTTTTACAAAATGAGTTAGAAAGTATTGCCTCTTCTTCAATTTTTATATGACTTTGGGGAAGATAGGTATTAAATCTTCTTTGAATGTTTGGTAGAATTCTCCAGTGAAGCCTTTTATAGACTCTTACTTTTGAGAAGGTTTTTTATTGGTGCTTTAATTTCCTCAATGTTGTTCACTCTAAGTAAATTTTCCAGTCTAGGAATTTACCATAGTTCTAGGAACTTGCTCATTTCTTCTAGGTTATTGAATTTGAATGAGAAATGGATGCACCTGCTCAGACCTTGAATGGATATACCTGCTCCATGCTACTTACTCCCTTATTGTGGCAGAATTCTTAAGCTTGTATGTTTTCACTAACTATAAGCTGCTGACAGCCTCCCTCTTGTTTTCCCAATGGTGGCACTACAGCTCAAGTTTGTGGTTTCTCTCCGTCCCACATACACTTGGTCTGCAAGTGCTCAGTAGCTGTCCACTAAAGCTTACTCTCACGACCGCCCGCAAGCGCATACACATAGAACTGGCTGCAGAATGGTGGTGATGCATACCTGTCACTGGGAGTGCCCATGGGACAATTGGGGGGATCTACAGGTAAGATTTTCTCAGAAGCTTCCTGATGGAATACACAATACATCTCTTTTAATGCTGAGAATCTTATCTGCCATATTCCTGATTTCCTCCCCCCACACACTTTAATACTCTGGATGCTACAAGAGAGAAATGAGTCTGTTTGGCAGCTGGAGAAGCTTGGGGCTCATTCACATGCTCTCCCTTTCCCCTAGTGGGGAGAAATCATGGAATAAGAAAGTCTCACTTGGCTCTAGCTATGCCACCATGGGGGAGGTGAGATGCAGGCAAAGTCAAGTTGTGTCTAAACTCTTTATTTTATTTTGTTTTATTTGTTTTATTTTATTTTATTTTATTTTATTTTATTTTATTTTATTTTATTTTACTTTTTGCTCCAATTTTCTAACTTCTCTGGAGAATTGCATAGAATCTTTCTTGTTTGTGGGTAATTGCCCATGTCAGTGTTCTCTGTGTGCTCCAAGACCACAGCTGAGAGGGCCTGGAACCAGTTCATGTGCTACTGCAGGTTACATAGCTGGGATGAAGATCTGTGTGCCTATTGCCTCATGAAGAGGTGGGCAGACATCCTCTGGGTCCCTTTAGCATTTGATGATGAATCCCACAACTCCCACGAAAGTACTTTTGTTTATGGGTAAATGCCAAATTTTTGTTGTTGGGGGGTGGACAAAAAAAACAAGGGGTTTCTTATGCCTTTATGATGCTGATACATTTGTAATACAATCAGTTTCATCTGTCTCAGTCTGCATTATATCCTGGGATCTTCCAACATCCTGGTAATTGCTTTTTCATTCATACTTTTATTGGAAAAAAAAAGAAGTAGAATTTAAATAGAATATAAATAAAAGACATCCTCTTACTGGTAGGTCTTCTTTAATATTTATTGATCATTGACTGCTACGCGCCTGTTTTCTTTTGCCTTTTTGTAGAAGAGAGCCTATCTGGCACCTATCCCTGTCTTGCTAGTATACTGTGCAGGGTGTGTGTATGTTTGATGGGAAGTCACATCATAGAAACTGCCTTTAAAAATTATTATAGATGGCCGAAACCGGTTTGGCTCAGTGGATTGAGCATTGGCCTGTGCACTGAAAGGTCCCGGGTTCGATTCCGGTCAAGGGCATGTACCTTGGTTGTGGGCACATCCCAGGTAGGAGTGGTGCAAGAGGCAGCTGATTGATGATTCTCTCATCAATGTTTCTAACTTTCTATCCCTCTCTCTTCCTCTCTGTAAAAAATCAATAAAATATATTTTTTAAAAAATTATTATAGATCACAATATTGTGGTCTTTTGCCATGATGCTAAATTTCTAATGAAAATTTAGGAGGTTCTGGAAAAAGCACATACATTTTGCATTTGGGCAGGTCAGGATTATTTGCAACCAGAGGCAATACTGGTGGATTGGTCTCAGTGTGTTCTGTTCTTGACTACTGCCCTCCCACCAATATACCTTTAGTGAATGGAACAAGAAGCAGAAACTTTAAAATTGCTTGTACATCAAGGCTTGACCAGATGCCACTCTTAGAATCTGAGGTTTCACCATGTGTCTCCTAAGGTGTGATGATGAGAGACCTGTAGCTAGGTCACCTCGTGTACCACCTGAAAAGTTGATTTTCTTTTAACTCCCTAGCCACCCTTTTATACTCTGCTTTGTATTCTGGATCTTGAACTCTGAAAACCATATTCTTGCTTTGCCAGGTAGCTCCAAGTAAGGCAGTGAAACAGGGTATGCTAGAGGGAGACTGAATTTAGAGATCATGGGATTTATTTCTCCTATTTGATTACCAATGAGCTTCCTGAGAGATTCATGTCTCTTTTCAATTTCTGTGAACATCTTCCCAGCAATATTTCTTTATCCCAGGAACAAAAGTTCTTTCCATAATGTAATGGTTTTTATTTTTTCCAACATTTAAGAATCAGTTTTATTTGAACTCTCATCACCTGATATATTGTAATATTAGCAGTGACTCTCTTCAGAAACATGTCTGGGCTCCTACTTAAAAAGTTAGGCACAGTATCAGCCAACTGCATCATCTACAGCCCTAGGTTTGGCAACCTTTTTCCTGAAATTGCTTCTTCCATGTTACTTTACAGATTTTTTATACTTTCATTTACCTCGTTAACAAATTTGTACTTAATTAGTTTTTTTTCCCATTATTGCTCTTTTTTCAAACACCTATGAGGTTTCTATTTATTGATGGAACCCAAATAATAGCCAGCAAATTGCCAGACATGTGAGTAAAACCGCTGACCACTAGTTAACCAAAGATGCATAAGTTAGCCCAACCCAGTCTACACTTCTACCTCCTAAATATGAGCTATGCAAATAGTTACTGCTTATGCTAAATATGTTTGGGGTAGTTATATAGTAAAAAAGATTACTAGCACATATGAAAAAATTAAAATAAGATTGACATATGAGCATAAATGAAAAACCCTCACATCACCACAAAAAAAAAAAAACCACTGATCTGTATGGCTCATGGTTATGCAGAGAAAATATTTCTCTCCCCAAATTGCTGGTGAAAATGTGCATTTTAAAAGCTTTTAGGGATGCAGTCTAAAAGTGTCCTTTAAAGTTAAAATGCTTAACAATCTCACTCCTGGAACTTTATCTCAAAGAGATGAAAGTACCAATATGTAAGGATATGCTTAAGAATACATTTACTAGTGGTAAAAAGCAAAACAAACAAACAAACAAAAAAAATAAAACACAAAAAACAAAATACAAAAAAAACCCATGCCCTTTAATAGAAAAATATCTGAACAAATAATTCTATTCCATGAAATATCATCCTGCCAGTAAAAATAAAAATAAAAGAGAGAGATTAAACCATTTCATTTTTAGTCTTGCAAGGATTACCTAAGATATTTTAATAAAATGTAAGATGCAAAATGAGTAAAAAAATACTACAAAACTGTTTTAATTACATACTTATTTTATGTCTTTAAGTATAATTTTTTACCTTGATTGTCAAAGGGTGATACATTGACCACTTTTGTTGGGAATTTAATTGCTGAGATGTCCTTGGAGGATAAACGTTTTTGATGATGTGAGAACTCTTTTTTGTTTTTAAATAAATTCATACCTAAAATAAAATTTAAAAAGAAAATTACATGAAGTCTTTGGATATTCACACTACTCCCCCAAATCCATGTCTTTAGTTATGGATACAAATTGTTTTCTTCCCACACATTTATTACTCCAATTTCTATAAATTATTTCATTATTTTTTTATTCTGTGCTCCTAGATAGCATCTTATTTTAAAGCTTCATCAAGGTATATGTAGTATATAAAATTTTATACGTATTTAATGTATATATTTTGATGTTTGAACATATTCATACACCTGTGATATCATCATCACTCTCAAAGTAATAAACATCAGTCACCTCCAAAGACATTTTATATTTCCCTGCTTGTGTGTATAATAGGAATTCTTAATACATGTACTTCCCTCTTAACAATTTTAAGTGCACAGCCCTGTATTGTTAACTATTGACACAAAGCTATACATGGATTTCTAGAGCTTCATCCAATGTAAACTAACTTTATGCCTATTGAACAACTAATTTCTTCCTAATCCATCCCTAGAATTTGAGTATTTTACATCTCATGTAAGTGGAATTATATAGTATTTGTACTTCTGTGACTGGCTTATTTTACTTAGCACTAATCTCTTCCAGATTCATCCATGGAAAAGTTTTTTTTAAAATATATATTCTATACAAAATTTTATTTATTTATTTATTTATTCTTTTATTTATGTAGATATGAATTTATTTTTTCATTTTTCTTTTTAAATTTAATATTCTCTTTAAAAATATTTATTGTTGAAAGTATTACACTCATTTGTGGAATCTAATGAACCAAATAAACTGATTGTCAAAAATAGACGCAGAGACATAGAAGCATCCCAGAAAGAGAGAAATATGGATATGAGAGAGAAACTTAAACTGGTTGCTTTCAGTATGTGCCCCAACTTCGGATCAAATCCACAACCTAAGTATGTGCCCTCACCTGGAATTGAACCTACAATCTTTTGGTGTATGAAACAACGCTCCAAATAACTGAGGCACCTGACCAGGGCAGAACTGATTCATCTTCTAACTGAAAGTTTGTACACTTTGACCAACATCTCCACATTTTCTGCACCCCACCACCCTTAGTAATCACCATTCTACTCTGTTTCAAGGAGATTAGTTTTTTTATTTTTTATTTTATTTTATTTTATTTTATTTTATTCTATTTTATTTTTTAAATATATTTTATTGATTTTGTACAGAGAGGAAGGGAGAGAGATAGAGAGTTAAAAACATCGATAAGAGAGTCATCGATCAGCTGCCTCTTGCACACCCCCTACTGGGGATATGCCCGCAACCAAGGTACATGCCCTTGACCGGAATCGAACCTGGGACCCTTCAGTCCCCAAGCTGATGCTCTATCCATTGAGCCAAACCGGTCTTGGCGAGATTAGTTTTTTTAGATTCCACATATGAGTGAGATCATACAAATATTTTCTGTCTCAATATATATAATAATGACCTCTGTCCACTTATAATAATCACATTTTTTATTTGTTTTTTGCTATTGAGTTTATTAGCCCCTTACATAATTTGGAAATTAACAATTATCCTAGATAATAAAAGGGTAATATGCAAATTGACCCTAATAGCTGAACAACCAGGGGGCAGATGTTCAACACAGGAACTGCCCCCTGGTGGTCAGAGCCCTCCCACAGGGGGAGTGCCACTCAGTCAGAAGCCAGGCTCATGGCTGGTAAGTGCAGTGGTGGTGGCAGGAGCCTCTCCCACCTACACTGTAGGCAGGTGGTGAGGAGTGAGGGTCCTGGACTGTGAGAGCCCTGGAGTGCAAGAGGGATATCTGACTGCTGGCTTAGGCCTGATCCTCAGGGCCTATGAGAGGGCGCAGGCTGGGCTGAGGGACACCCTCCCCTCCGCCAAACCAGTGCATGAATTTCATGCACCAGGCCTCTAGTAAGATAGATAGTTTGAAATATTTTTCCCATTTTGTAGCTTACCTTTTTATTTTGCTGATGGTTTCTTTTGCCAGAAGGTTTTTTTTAATTTTTTAATTTAAGAATAAATCTTTGATGTTCAGATTATTACAATTGTTCCTCTTCCACACACCCCCATAGCTCCTCTCCACCAAGTTCCTACCCCACCCTCTGCCTTACCCTCCTCCCCACTGTCCTCATCCATAGGTGTACGATTTTTGTCCAGTCTCTTCCTGCACCCCTCCACCCCTTTTCCCCAAAGAATTTTCAGTGCATTCCCTTTCTATGCCCCTGATTCTATTATATTCACCAGTCAATACTGTTCATCAGATTTTTTATTCACTTGATTTTTAGGTTCACTTGTTGATAGATATATATTTGTTCATAATTTTCATCTTTACATTTTTCTTCTTAAAGAATACCTTTTAGCATTTCATATAATACTGGTTTGGTGGTGATGAACTCCTTTAACTTTTTCTTATCTGTGAAGCTTTTTCTTTATCTGTCCTTCAATTCTGAATGATAGCTTTGATGGGTAGAGTAATCTTGGTTGTAGGTTTTTGCTATTCATCACTTTGAATATTTCTCGCCACTCCCGTGTGGCCTGCATAGTTTCTATTGAGATGTCAGCTGACAATCGTATGGGTACTCCCTTGTAGGTAACTAACTATTTTTCTCTTGTTGCTTTTAATATTCTCTGTCTTTTGCTCTTGGCATTTTAATTATGATGTGTCTTGGTGTGGTCCTCTTTGGATTTATTTTGTTTGGTGTTCTCTGTGCTTCCTGGACTTGTAAGTCTATTTCTTTCACTAGATGGGGGAAGTTTTCTGTTATTATTTCTTCAAATAGGTTTTCAGTATCTTGCTCTATCTCTTCTGGGACACCCATAATTCTGATGTTGGTATGCTTGAAGTTATCCTAGAGGCTCCTTACATTATCTTCATATTTTTGGATTCTTTTAGCTTTTTGTCTTTCTGGTTGGGTATTTTTTGCTTCTAAGTATTTCTAATCTTTTACTTGATTCTTGCAATCATCTTGTCTGTTGTTGGATCTCTGTTTATTATTTTTTATTTCAGTCAGTGAAATAAATACTTAATTTCTAGTTGGTCCTTTTTCATTTCCTTGAGGGTCTCACTAAATTTATAGGCCTTTCCTAGAACATTCTTGAAAAACTTTAAAACCATGGTTTTGAACTCTATATACAATCATTTGCTTTCCCCCATTTCTTTCATTTGTGACCTGTTTCTTTGTCTCCAAATTTTGGCTGCTTCTCTGAGTTAATAGAATGGCCTTGTGTGCTAGGTGTCCTATAGGGCCTAGTGGTTCAGTCTCCCCAGCTACCTGAAGTGGACACTCTTGGTGCACCCCTTTGTGGGCTGTGTGCACAGTCTTGTTGTAGTTAAGTCTTGATTGCTGTTGGTATCACTGGGAGGAATTGACCTCCAGGCCAGCTGGCTCTGAGGATCAGCTGTGTCTATGCTGGGAGAACTTCTGTGCTGGAGACACCCTTATGAGACAAGACTTGCAAAACCCTCTGTGTTGAGCTTGGATGGGGCAGAATCTCAGGGCAGAGCAGACAGTGTTGGCTTCTCATCAGTCCTGACCTAAGAGGCTCCTGGGTCTCAGAGTCCCACAGTAATTGCTGTAAACACCTCTGAGAGAAAGCTGCCCTTGAGTTTTGCCCACTGCTAGCCAGTCCAGTTTCTCCTTGAATGAGTCTGGGTCCCCAGAGTCTAGCCAAGAACTGGAGTTCAGAGCAGTCAGGAGCTTTTATCTCCCACTTGATAAACCCTCGGTACCTCTGTCTTCCACAGTTCCTCTGAGTGTTAGTGTGCTTTTCTCTTTCCTGACAGTCCAGTTTCTCCCCATATGAGTCTGGGTCCCCAGAGACTCACCTGGAACTGGAATTCAGTGCAGTTGGGAGCTTTTGTCTCTCTCTCGCTTGAGGAAGCCAGCCACATTTGTGTGAGGCAGTTTAGGTGTTTGCCTATGTCACCATCTTGGTTTCTCCTCTTGCCAGAAGTTTTTAAACTGATATAAACAGATACTACACTTGATCTTAGCCAAAAGGCCGAGAAGTGATTGCCAGTTTTTAAATTTGATGTTGTCCCACCTGTTGATTTTTGCTTTTGTTGCATGTGCTTTCGGTGGAAGGTTCATAATATTGTCACCAAGACTAATGTCAAGAAGATTTTCTTTTCTTCTGTGTTTTCTTGAAGAAATATTAAGGTTTTAGGTGTCACATTTAAGTCTTTAATCTATTTCAACTTTATTTTTGTAAATGATATAAAATATGAATAAATTGTATTCTTGCATGTGGATATCAAAATTTTCAATCCATTTATTAAAGATAATATCATTGAGTATTCTTGGCTCACTTGTGAAATATTAATTGTCAACATGAGGCTATATTCAGGCAATTGATTTTGTTCCATTGGTGAATGGTCTGTTTATGTGTCAGTATCAACTTGTTTCGATTATTATAGCTTTGTAATAGTTTGAAATAAAGAAATGTAATGCTCTCTACCTTTGTTTTCATCTCACAGGATTGCTTTGGCTATTCAGAGTCTTTTCTGGCTCCAACAAATTTTTCCTTTTTTTTTTTTTTTAAAGCCATTAGAATATTGATAAGGATTGCATTGAATCTATAGATAGATGAGGGTGGGTATTGACATTTTAAAAACATTAACTCTTCTAATGCATAAACCCAGGATATAATTCTACTTATATGTGCTTCTTCAAAAATTTCCATCAAAGTGTTATAGATTTTACTGTTTAGATAGATCATTCTCAAGCTTGCTTAAATTTATTCCTAAGACATCTTTGTGTGTGTGTGTGTGTGTGTGTGTGTGTACATGTTCAACCTTTATTATAAAGTGCATTGTACCCATCTGACAAGGAAAACTCTTTTTATCATAAAGGATGGGTATGAAAGGGCCCTCTCAAAGCATGCAGCCACCAGCCCATAGTGCTTTCAAGGAAATGCCATTAGAATAAAGCCTCACCCTTAGGCACTCTCAACTTAGGGGCCAAATGGAGTCCTTCCCTGTCTCCCATCACTCTTCCCCAG